GTCGGCGATCAGTACGTTGCTGCCGCTGCCGAGCACCAGCAGCGGGCCATCGGCCACATCCGGCAGGGCCAGGACCTCCGGCAGCAGCGCGGCATCGTGCAGTTCCAGCAACTGCGCGGCGTTGGCCTGCACGTGGAAGGTGTTCAGGGCCTGCAGCGGTGCGTTGCGGGTCAGGGTCCAGCGCAGCGGTGCTGCAGTGTTGTTTGTGTCGTCCATGGGGGTACTCACAGCGGTGCCACCGCGCCGCGGCTGGGCGCTTCGCGTCGGCGCCGGATCGCCTCCACACAGTCGGCAACCAGGGCCGGGCCCTTGAAGATCAGGCCGCTGTAGCACTGCACCAGCGCCGCACCGGCGGCCATCTTGGCCACGGCGTCGGCACCAGAAAGGATGCCGCCGACACCGACCAGCGGCACCGATTCCGGCAGGCGCGCGCGCAGGCGGCGCAGCACCAGGGTGGACTGCTCCAGCACTGGTGCACCGGAAAGGCCGCCGGCTTCATTGGCCAGCGGATCGCCGGCAACGCGGCTGTGGTCGATGGTGGTGTTGGTGGCGATCACACCGTCCACCTGCAGTTCGCCCAGCACGCGCGCGGCGGCGTCGATGTCGCGCTCGTTGAGGTCCGGGGCCACCTTGACCAGCATCGGCACGCGCCGGCCATGCTGCGTAGCCAGTGCTTCCTGGCGCTCACGAAGCTGGCTGACCAGCTGCCGCAGCGCGGTCTCTTCCTGCAGTTCGCGCAGGCCAGCGGTATTGGGCGAGGAAATGTTTACGGTGATGTAATCGGCCAGCGGGTACACCTTGTCCATGCAGGCGATGTAGTCATCGGCGGCCTGTTCGTTGGGGGTGTCCTTGTTCTTGCCGATGTTGATGCCGAGCAGGCCGCGCCGGTTGCGCGCGCGTTCGACGTTGCGTACCAGCGCATCCACGCCTGCATTGTTGAAGCCCATGCGGTTGATGATCGCGTTGTGCGCCGGCAGCCGGAACAGGCGCGGCTTCGGGTTGCCGGCCTGCGGTCGTGGCGTGATCGTGCCGATCTCCACGAAGCCGAAACCCAGCGCGAACAGTGCATCGATGTGCTCGCCATTCTTGTCCAGTCCAGCAGCAAGGCCGACCGGATTGGGGAACGTCAGCCCGAACACCGTGCTGGGCATCGGCGCGATGCGTGCGGCCACCAGCGGCGTGGTGCCGGTGCGATAGGCCAGGTCCAGAGCGGACAGGCCGAGACCGTGGGCGCGTTCGGCGTCGAGCGAGAACAGGAAGGGGCGGGCAAGCGAATACATGCGTTGGTTTCAGTCCAGCGTGCCGAGGAAGGCTCGGGTTCGATATTCAAAAGCGACCTGGCCGTCGACCGCGTGGGCGGCGAACAGGTCCTGCAGCGCAGCCAGCATCGGCGCGTGGCGCGGATGGCCGGGCTGCGGCGCGTAGGAAGAAGACAGCAGGCGCCCACGCAGGGCGTCCAGGTCCAGGTGCTGCACGTTCGGCAGCTGCACCATGCCACGCAGGCCAGTACCGAACCAGGCCTGCATGGTGGCGTCGTCCTGGTAGCGTTCGGCCACGGCGGTGTAGTCGGTGCCGTAGTCCAGCAGCAGTTGTTCGTAGGCGACCAGAAACGGACTGGCATCGAGCAGGCGCGAATTCCAGTAGATCAGTGCCAGCCCGCCCGGGCGCAGGATGCGGCGCCACTCGGCGCGCACGGCCACGGTGTCGAACCAGTGGAAGGCCTGCGCGGCACTGACCAGGTCAGCGCTGGCATCGGCCAGGCCGGTGGCCTCGGCGCGGCCATCGACGGCGGAGAACTGCGGATATTGCGGCGCCAGCCAGTGTTCGGCGGCGGCGCGCATCGCCGCGTTGGGTTCGACGGCGACCAATGGATGGCCGGCGGCCAGGAACTGCCGGCTGGAGATGCCGGTGCCTGCGCCGATGTCAGCAACCAGCCCGCTGGTTGCCACGGCCATGGGGCCATGCAGCCAGTCCATCAGCGCGACCGGATAGTCGGGGCGGTAGCGGACATAGTCCGCGACGCGGCTGCTGAAGCGTTCAGTGCTGTCCGGGGAGGTCATCGTGCTTTCACCAGCGCAGTCCAGGCTTGGCGTCGGCGCCGGCGGCCACCATCGCGAAGATCAGGATGGCCACCAGGCCCACGGCAGCGAGGATGTTGAGCCAGCCCATGATCAGCCCGGCCAGGGCCATGCCATCGCCGTCCTGTTCGCCAGCGCGGCGGCGGATCTCGGCGCGGGCCAGGTGCCCGGTGATGATGGCAACAAGGGCGGCGACACCCGGCAGCACGGTCCAGCTGCAGATGCCCGCGATCAGGCTGACCACGGCCAGGGCGTTGGTCTGTCGGGGTGGCACGCTCATCGAGTCCTCCGTGGCAGTGCCGACATGATAGTGCCTCTGCCCCGGCAATCCCATGGTCCGGGGCAGAAGGCCCTCACCCCATCAGCACTTGGCCGCCATCGACATTGAGCACGTGGCCGGTGATCCAGCGCGCCAGCGGCGAGCACAGGAACAACGCGGCATCGGCGATCTCGCGCGGCTGCCCGAAGCGGCCGAACGGAATCTTCGCCAGGGTGCCGTGGTACAGCGCGGGATCTTCGACACGACGTCGATCCCAGAGGCCATCGGCAAATTCGATCGAACCCGGTGCAATGGCATTGACCCGGATGCGGTCCGGCGCCAGTGCCAGCGCCTGCGAGGTGGTGTAGTGCGAGAGCGCGGCCTTGGCCGCCGCATACGGTGCACCGCCGGGACGCGGCTGCTGCGCGGCGATGGAGGAAAGATTGAGGATGCAGGCATCGGACGAGGCGCGCAGCCACGGCAACGCAAGGCGCGATGCGCGGACAGCGGCCATCAGGTCGATCTGCAGGCTGGCGGCCCAGCCGTCTTCGTCATCAGCCATGCCGTAGCCGGTGGCGTTGTTGACCAGCACATCGATGCCGCCGAGTGTGTCGGCAGCGGCCTGCAGCCAGACGCCTATGCGGCCAAGGTCGCCCAGATCGGCGGCGAAGGTGTGCAGCTGCGTGCCCTGTGCCCGCGCATCGGCCTGCAGGGCGTCGAGCCCGGTCTGGCCGCGGGCGCAGACCGAAACCTGCGCACCGGCGCCAGCAAACGCCAGCGCCAGTTCGCGGCCAATGCCCTTGCTGCCGCCGGCAATCAATACCCGGCGGCCGCTGAAATCGAGGGTCGGAGCCCCTGTGGGGATCCGACCCTGATTGGTCGGTACGGCATGGGTCGGATCCCCGGAGGGGCTCTGACCCAGGTGCATGGCCGGACCGTTTGCCATCACAGGTCGAACTTGATGCCCTGGGCCAGCGGCAGCGAATCCGAATAGTTGATGGTGTTGGTCTGGCGGCGCATGTAGACCTTCCATGCATCCGAACCGGATTCGCGACCACCGCCGGTATCCTTCTCGCCACCGAAGGCGCCACCGATTTCCGCACCGGAGGTGCCGATGTTGACGTTGGCGATGCCGCAGTCCGAACCGGCCGCCGACAGGAAGCGCTCGGCGGTCTTCAGGTTGGTGGTGAAGATCGAGGAGGACAGGCCCTGCGGCACGCCGTTCTGCATGTCGATGGCTTCGTCCAGCGTGCTGTACTTCATCACGTACAGGATCGGCGCGAAGGTCTCGTGCTGCACCACTTCATCGCTGTTCTTCAGGCCGGTGACAATGGCCGGCAGCACGAAATTGCCGGCGCGGTCGATGCGCGTGCCGCCGGTTTCGATGGTGCCGCCGCTGGCCTTGGCCTTTTCGATGGAGGCCAGGAACTGCTGCACGGCACCGTCGCTGTTCAGCGGGCCCATCAGGTTGGCCGGGTCGGTCGGATCGCCGATCTTGCCTTCCACCTGCTTGTACGCCTTGACCAGCGTGGCCAGCACGTCGTCATGGATGGATTCGTGCACGATCAGGCGACGGGTTGTGGTGCAACGCTGGCCAGCGGTGCCGACCGCGCCGAACACGATGCCGGGGATCGCCAGCTTCAGGTCGGCGGTTTCATCGAGGATGATCGCGTTGTTGCCGCCCAGTTCCAGCAGGCAACGGCCGAGGCGGTGCGCGACCTTCTCGGCGACGGTGCGGCCAACCTGGGTCGAACCAGTGAAGCTGATCAGCGGCACGCGCTTGTCGGCCACCATCTTTTCCGACAGCGCGGTGCCGGCGTCGTTGATCAGGAAGAACAGGTCCGGGAAACCGGCATCGCGCAGTGCTTCATTGCAGATGCGCATCGAGGCGATGGCGGTCAGCGGGGTCTTGTTGGACGGCTTCCACAGGCAGATGTCGCCGCAGATCGTGGCCAGGAACGAGTTCCAGGCCCACACCGCGACCGGGAAGTTGAACGCGCTGATGATGCCGACCAGGCCGAGCGGCTGGTACTGCTCGTACATGCGGTGGCCCGGGCGCTCGGAATGCATGGTGTAGCCGTACAGCATGCGGCTCTGGCCCACGGCGAAGTCGGCGATGTCGATCATCTCCTGCACTTCACCGTCGCCTTCGGGCTTGCTCTTGCCCATTTCCAGCGCGACCAGCGAACCCAGCGCATCCTTGTGCTTGCGCAGCGCTTCGCCGCACAGGCGCACGGCTTCACCGCGACGCGGGGCCGGGGTGGTGCGCCAGACCTTGAAGGCCTCCTGCGCGCGCGCAATGACGGTTTCGTACTCGGCTTCGGTGGTGGCGCGGACCTGCGCGATCGGCTCGCCCGTGGTCGGATTGATCGGGGTGATCAGTTCACCGCCGGTAGCGCTCGACCACTCCCCGTTGCCCAGGTAGGTGCCAGCGTTGATCGCGTCCAGACCAAGGGACTTGAGCAGCTCGGAAGACATGCAGACTCCTGTGTTTCGTTACGTTGTGTTTGGTGCCGTCGCGGGCAGGTGGGGGCGCGACGAACTGAGCCGCCGATGGTAGCAGAGCGACCGGAACTGCCATGGTGCGCCGCGCCAGTGGCAGCGGTGTGGCAGATGAATGCTTGGAGGGCAGGGCGGCTTGCCTGTAAACTTGGCGGCTGCATGGCTCCGTAGCTCAGCTGGATAGAGCGTCCCCCTCCTAAGGGGAAGGTCGCCCGTTCGAATCGGGCCGGGGTCACCATCCACGTAGGGCGCATCGACGCGCGCCCGCAACAGCGTCGGCGCCATGGATCACCTCCTGCAGCCTGTTCAGCCTTCACACTTCGCGGTCGTCGCCGGCTGGCTCGACTCGCCTGGGGCGACCCTGCGCTGGGCCGGCCCCGGCGTGCCGTTTCCGTTGCCTGCCGATGCCTTCGCCGCTGCATTGGCGTTGCCTTCGCGCCCAGGCTGGACGCTGCTGGATGCCGACGGCACCTGCATGGGCTTTGGCCAGTATTGGCAGACGGCACCTGGCAGCACCCACCTTGGGCGCATCATCGTGTCGCCGCAGGCGCGCGGCCGTGGCCTGGGCCGGGTGCTGGTGACCGCACTGTGCGCCGAAGCCGTTCGTCGTACCGACGCACTGCAACTGACGTTGAAAGTCTATCGGGACAATCCGGCGGCCGTGGCGCTGTACCGCGCGCTTGGCTTCGTTGCCAGCGAAGACGCATCCACGCCGGAGCTGCTGTTCATGGCCCGCCCGGCGGTCTGAGCCGAGAACGGGCAGTGCTCTGCACTCCCGCTGCACATCATCTGCACGCGCTGCTGCAAGCGGACTCGGCAGTCTGGTGCTGTCCCCATCGGTTGCCCAGGAGCGCCCCCATGAACACCCCCGGCACCCCCAAACCTTCCTGGCGCCAGCGCAACGTGCTGTTGACCGTCGCCGCAGTGCTGCTGGTGATTCTGCTGATCCTGCTCTTCGTGCCCTGGTAGGAGCGCGGCGCGCCAGGCCATGCCTGGCGGGCCCATGAGGGTCGATTCGAGGTAGTGCCAGGCCATGCCTGGCGTCGCAACGGCGACTCAGGCCTGCTTGAGCAACTCCACCAGCTGCCGCAACCGGTAAGGCTTGGGCAGGAATTCCACCTGCTCGGGCAACGGCGGCAACTGCGAGCGCGCATAGCCGGAGGAGAGGATCATCCGCGCCTGCGGCTGGTCCCGCGCCACATGCTCGCTCAGCTCGATGCCGGACATGCCGTTGGGCATGCTGATGTCACTGAACACCACATCGAAACGCGCGCCACCCTGCAGCAGGGCGACTGCTTCCTGCGCATCCGCCGTGGTCGCCACGTCGATGCCGAAGTCGCGCAGGGCCAGCCCGATCATCTCGCGCAGATCGGTCTGGTCCTCCACCATCAATACGCGGATCGGATCATCGGTCATGTGCGGGGTCCTCGGTGGCAGGGAGCAGCAGGCTGACCGTGGTGCCGACACCGGGCGTGGTGGACACATCAACGAAGCCGCCGCTCTGGGTGGTGAATCCGAACACCTGGCTCAGGCCCAGACCGCTGCCCTTGCCGATGTCCTTGGTGGTGAAGAAGGGTTCGGTCGCGCGCTCGGCGATGTCCGGGGCCATGCCATGGCCCTCATCGCAGACGCTCAACGTTACATAGGTCCGTTGCCGGGATGTGTCGGCGTCGGGGTCCATGCGGTGTTCCAGCGCGGTGGCGATCAGTACCCGGCCGCCACCGACGGTGGCATCCGCAGCGTTGCCGACCAGATTGGTGAGCGCTGTCTGCAGCTGCACGGTGTCGCTCAGTATCGCAGGCAGGCCGGCGGCCAGCGCGGTTTCCAGGGTGACGCCGGCAGGGCAGGTGGCCTGCAGTGCGGGCAGCCAGTCGCGGATCCGCGCATTGATGTCCAGCGTTTCGCGGATCAGGGTCTGCCCGGTGCTGAAGGCCAACAGCTGCCGGGTCAACAGTGCGCCACGATCGCTGGCCGCCTGCGCGGTGGTGAGCAGGGCGTTGGCACGCGCATCATCACCCATGCGTGCGGACAGCAGATCCAGTGCATTGACAATGGTGGTCAGCAGGTTGTTGAACTCGTGGGCAAGGCCGCGGCTGAGCTGGCCGACCGTCTCGAACTGCTGGGTCTGGCGCAAGGCCCGCTGCGCGTCGC